ATAACATTTGCAAAACACATTCAACAGATAGTAGATAAATGTAAAAGAGGAATAAATGTACTGAGGTGTTTGGCAGGAATAGATTGGGGAGCTGATAGACAGTCTCTAAAAAGAATATACTGTGCACTTATAAGGTCTACATTAGACTATGGGAGTATGATTTATGGAACTGCCTCAAGCATCTCTGTTAGATAAAGTGAATAAAATACAAAACCAGACATTGCGATTATGCTGTGGAGCATTTAAAACTTCTCCTGTATCAGCTTTACAGGTTGAAATGAATGAGATGCCACTGGAGCTTCGCAGGTTGAAGCTGAAACTGGTATATTGGGCTACTGTAAAAGGGCATTCAGAAATACATCCAGTTAAAAAAGTATTAGAAAACTGTTGGGAACATGAATACATAAATATAAATAGTTTTGGATGGAAAGCAAATAATGAGGCACATCAAATTGGAATAAGTAATTGTGATGTTTGCAATACTGTTGTGTTGCCAGTAACACCTCCATGGTTATTCCCAATGCCTGCAGTTGACCTTCAGGTTTTAGTGAGTATAAATGATAAAAACAGACAAGAATCTAAAGATTCAATAGTACAGAAATATTTAGATCAGAAATATATATCAGTAACTCATATATATACAGATGGATCTAAAGATCCTGAAACAGGACGCACAGCAGCAGCAATATATGTTCCAAGGTTCAGGTATAGAATAGCAAAGAGAACATCTAATCACTTATCAGTTTATACAACAGAAATGATTGCCATATTATTGGCTCTTCAGTGGGTTGAAGACATTAATATACCTGAAGTAGTCATATGTTCAGACTCCTATTCAGCACTATCAAGTTTAACGAGTCGTAAATCTTCTACTAGACAAGACATTTTATCAGACATTTTACAAAGTTTGTTCAGAATACAAACAAAAACCATTATCTCTTTTGTATGGATTCCTGCACATATAGGGATAGAAGGTAATGAAGTGGTGGATCAAATAGCGAAAAAAACATTAAAACATCCAGACATAGAATTTAATGTTCCAATGAGTAAATTAGAAATAAAAGGGCTAATTAAAAAAGCATTAAAAGATATATGGCAAAGTAAATGGGATGGTGAGAATAAAGGACGGCATTTATATAATATTCAAAAAACAGTTGGAAATGAGAGGAGAATTTTTGGGAATAGAAAGGAAGACGGCATAATATCTCGCCTTAGAATTGGACACACTGCACTTAATCAATCATTATTTATAATAGGAAAACATGAGTCTGGACTTTGTGGTAAATGTGATCTTCCTGAAACAGTTGAACATATTTTAATAAAATGTAAAGGATATGACAACGAAAGAGTACAACTTACAGAAGCACTTCATATAGAAATAAATCAGATCTCACTTCAGAAATTGTTAAATAAAGATGTGACTATAGAAATGTTTCACATATTATTTAAGTATCTCAAAGATACAGAGTTAATAAACAGGATTTAAAGAATCACTACAAATGT